TTCAATGCACGAACGAATGGTAGACATATAGAGATGCAAGATAGATTATCAAGATGTAACCTTTCGACCAAAAGCAAATGGTTTGAAGGGAAATTCACATTAATATTAGAAAGATATATAACATTTAACGGAATTATGAATCTAGTTTCCTAACTAACTTTTTCCAGAAAAAAGATGTTTATAAATTTCAACCGACAGGTTGTTTCTTTTTTGTCTTTTTCATTTATAGGACCTCACGCGAATGTGAAAAAGAATTTATAAATTACCACCGACAGTAGCACTGGCTGCTCGGTCAATGAATACTGAATGTTTCCTTATAAGGAAACAGCTAATGTTACCATTTAGAAGTATTTTTCCTACTTAGTTATGTGTGGTACCCCACGCGGATGTGAGGAGAAAGAGAACAATTGTCCAGTACCCCTGCCTTATCTTTTGACATGTCACTGGTGTCATGGAACAACCCCGACGTTACTCCTTTCAGTTCAATGGGGAAAATGTTGCTGGCGGGTTCATGCCACTAAACAGCATGTATTGATCGGTCACCACAACGGCCCAGATTGGAATCTCAGAGGATCAAATCTTGGCCGGAGAATAAAAATTAAAAAAAAAAAACAGGTGCTGTAAGGTAAAGTTGAGGGAACTTCACAATTTCTTGTCTTTCTTCTCACATCCGCGTGGGATCCTACACGTAAAAAATATGGAAAAGATTTAAATGATAATGGTAATGGTAACATTAGCCGTTTCCTTATAAGGAAACATTCAGTATTGATTGAGCGAGCAGCCAGTGCTGCTGTCGGTTGAAATTTATAAAATCTTCCTCTTAAAACAATTTTTCAGAAAAATAGATTTCTCAACTCCTGAAGCTGTTATCGCTCTTTCAATTATTGATGGGAGTTTCCTTCCTAACCTTTTGTTTGAAGTAGTGTGGAAGGTCAACATCTTGGTTATGTCATTATTTTCTCTCCGAGTTAGATATCATTTCCATTTTAGTTATTTCTGTTGTTGAAATTCTCAATTGATATGTTCTGTTATTTCGTACAATTCTTTGTTTTTGATTCTGTAGCACTAGAGCAAAATGTTCTAAGAAGGATGGTCCGCACCAAGATCCACAGCATTCACTCGCTCAAAGCCTTTTTAAACATTGACCTAAGGAAGCCGTTGTATACTGACTAGTTTGGATATTTATAAACGAGTTTCGCGCGATGCATAACATTGATATCAGTCATTGATACACGCTTAGGCGATCCTGTATCTTCCGATACATGACAGACGATGCATATTTTTTTCCTGCAGTAGGTTGCCATTTCTTTCTGCGGTAGACCAGATGCCATCCAAAGCCATAGAACCCGGTCTGTCCTGATATTTACCCATAGCTGGAGGGAAAAGAAGAGGATTCATATCTTTCCCAAGAGTATTACTACTTAAGTTTCGACTGAAATTCGAACTCGGCTTTCTAATTCCTCAAACCGAGCCGCTATCCATTACTCCACAGTGCATGTGAAAGTCTTGATCTGACGAGGCTATTTAAGAACATGACTTGAGTTTGCTGGTTAATATTTTAGTTTTTTAGCAATTTATCGTGTTGGGGCAAAGAGCTCATTCTATATTCAATTTCTTTATCTCCTATGCTAAATTTCCTGGCACACAAATATAATTTACTGGGTCTTTTGAAACAATTCTGACCCTCACATATACACCTTCTGGTGACCGAGGAAAGGTTAAGATGGGGTAAGAGTATTTTGTATAATGTTATCACAAGGACTGGGGCGCCTTATACTACACCATTCAGTTGAAACAAGACACTGGAACCACACGCCAAAATTCCTGCTGATGTTTGATGACACGACGCCAAGCACAAATGAGATATATCAGCCAGTTGAATAATTTATTTGTACTTAATGGTTGTTATTTGTTATAACAACTTTTGCTTGTTTTAGAAACGACACTGATGTTCTTCTATGTGCCGTGTCCTTCAAGACGTGAGCAATCATGGCTCTCCACAACCTCTTTACCTCTTGTAGCAAAGGTTTCTCTTTTTGACAAGACTGAAGTTCCACCATCCATTCACAAAAGCTCGTCGAGTAGTTGGCACATTACCTTCCTCTATCTTTCTAACTATCGATATGCCCTCTTACGCAAGGCCGGTGCGTACTACCCCAAATATCCTGACCTGATGTTTCTTTTTTAGATGTATTACCCAGAAAATGTAACAAATTATTGTGTAATTATTATTGAGTTACAAATTATTGTGTAATTATTCAAATAATTAGTGATTTTCTTGCTTGGTTAATTCAAAATTAATTATTCACTAAAAAGTCAATACACTAAAAATTAATTCATTCATTATTAATTACTAATTATTCACTAAAAAATCAATAAACTAAAAATTAATTAATTCATTATTAATTATTAATTATTCACTAAAAAGTCAATACACTAAAAATTAATTAATTCATTATTAATTATTAATTATTCACTAAAAGTCAATACACTAAAAATTAATTAATTCATTATTAATTATTAATTATTCACTAAAAGTCAATACACTAAAATTAATTAATTCATTATTAATTATTAATTATTCACTAAAAGTCAATACACTAAAAATTAATTAATTCATTATTAATTATTAATTATTCACTAAAAAGTCAATACACTAAAAATTAATTAATTATTATTAATTATTAATTATTCACTAAAAGTCAATGCACTAAAATTAATTAATTCATTATTAATTATTAATTATTCACTAAAAAGTCAATACACTAAAAATTAATTAATTCATTATTAATTATTAATTATTCACTTCAATACACTAAAATTAATTAATTCATTATTAATTATTAATTATTCACTAAAAAGTCAATACACTAAAAATTAATTAATTCATTATTAATTATTAATTATTCACTAAAAAGTCAATACACTAAAAATTAATTAATTCATTATTAATTATTAATTATTCACTAAAAAGTCAATACACTAAAAAATTAATTAATTCATTATTAATTATTAATTATTCACTATCAATACACTAAAATTAATTAATTCATTATTAATTATTAATTATTCACTAAAAAGTCAATACACTAAAAATTAATTAATTCATTATTAATTATTAATTATTCACTAAAAAGTCAATACACTAAAAATTAATTAAAACTTACTAATTATTCACTAAAAAATCAATACACTAAAAATTAATTAATTCATTATTAATTATTAATTATTCACTAAAAGTCAATACACTAAAATTAATTAATTCATTATTAATTATTAATTATTCACTAAAAAGTCAATACACTAAAATTAATTCATTCATTATTAATTACTAATTATTCACTAAAAAATCAATACACTAAAAATTAATTAATTCATTATTAATTATTCACTAAAAATCAATACACTAAAAAAAATTAATTCATTATTAATTATTAATTATTCACTAAAAAATCAATACACTAAAATGAATTAATTCATTATTAATTATTAATTATTCACTAAAAATCAATACACTAAAAATTAATTAATTCATTATTAATTATTAATTATTCACTAAAAAGTCAATACACTAAAAATTAATTCATTATTAATTACTAATTAAATAAAAGTCAAAAAAAATAAAAATAAAAAACATGATCTTTTAAATTAGTCTCAATAATTAAAAATAGTTAATAGTTAAAAAACAAGGAAGGTTAGGGGTTCTCACCAGCCTATGAGAAAACTGTCTTGAAACTTCTCCACTCTCAAAACATGGCAGTTCACAAATACTTAAGGAATCTGCGCAAAACGATATGGTATTGAAAAACATATTTAAAAAAAAATAATTTTCTTCTTTGAAATACTTCAGAAATCCAATGAACTAAACTCGGTTCTTTTAATAGCAGTGATTATGAAAAGCGTTGCAAATTATAAACACTTCACTTATCTCGGTGTCTTGATCCCTTATAACACATGGAATGGATAGCGACTCGAAATGAGAAATCGGAGAGCCGAGTTCAAATTCTAATCGAGTTCGTTACACGCAAATAACCTTGGAAAAGGAATGAATTCATCTTTTCATCACCAAGGGTTAAATACTAGGACTCGTATCTGGAAAAACCGTTATCTCCAGAAAAATTTTCGGGAAATATTGGCTCGCCAAAAACAAAAAGGAATTATTCTTACAATAAAAAATAATGTTTTGACTTGAAATAAATCCGCTTTGTTGAACATTCCTTCACTTCGATACAGTTCCGTTTTAACCTTCTCCAAATCAAGTGTCAAACCTCTTGTATCCCTGTGCCGTTAATCTTCATTTCTTATCATCTTCTCTTTATTCATAACACACACCTCCCTCGCCATAACCATTTGAATGTCACTTTCTACTTGTGGCTTACGGCCATATCATGTTAAAACACCGGTTCTCGTTTGATACCGAATTTAAGCATAGTTGAACCTAGTCACAAACTAGATGGGTGACCACTCAAGAATACTAGATGCTATAAAGTTGGATGAGCTAGCGTTGTAATGGATAACGGCACGGAATGAGAAATCACAGAGCCGATTTCCAGCCGGGTTCGTTATATTCATTTCCATGTAAATACCATCGGAAAATATATGAATCCAGCTTTTCTACCCAACATATGAGTAAAATAGAAAGAATTGTGCCAGAAATTATTATTATGCCCGCCAAAATTCTTATAATCCGGAGTGAAATAATTCTACTTTAATTAACCTTAAATCGGTTGTTAGTCGTAAAAATCATTAATGTCCTTTTATTGTTCTCTCTCTTTAATAGTTCTTTCTCATATTCGGTAATACTCAGTGACCGTTTGCGTCCTGGTGGCTTTATTGCCATTATCTGGGGTGAAATGATTTTTAAAAATTAAAAAACATAATTTTTATTTGAGCGGCTCTCGCTTTATATTGTACCAGTTGAAATTTAGTGTAAAAATCTTATCTTAGTATTAACACAGTTTTGTCAATCATTTTAAACACTGCTTTTTTGGTATTTTCAGAAACCCTTAAATTGGTGGAATAAAAAAGGCGACATTATCGGTCGGCAGAAAGGAAGAATTCAGCAAAACATATATGGCAACCTCATCATAAAGTCTGTTCGACTCTCAGACAGCGGACTTTATACTTGTTCCAATATTAATGGCAGCGTCAAACATAAATCAATAGAACTCAAAATATCAGGTAAGAAATTTTTTTCATACAAACTTGTCTCTCTGAAGATTCACAATATATTTTACTTTAAATATAAACTGGACAAAAGAAAACTTACGCTAAATTCTTTATCGCCTAACTTATGCCAAGCAGAAAAAGTGATTTCTAATTAAAAAAAAAAAAAGGGCATCTTAACCTTTACTACGAGTAAAATTTCACAGTTTTCCGAATTCAATTTTCTGATTAATCATATTTCTACATTGTAACCATTAGTATTTCAACAGTGTAATCTAGGTATGGGCAACCTTTTTCGACCAGTGGGATTATAACTCATTATAAAACTGGTCGTGCTACCAATAAATGCAAGGTAATTTTTCATTGTAGGTACCTTAGCTATTTTCATTACAGAAGACGTATATACACCTGCCTTAGAAATAAGGAAAAGTTGTTGTTTTTTTCTTTGGAGAAAAGAATTTTTACTACAATTAAAATGAGTGATGTTCACACTGTACCTCAAGGTAGAGAATTATAGAGTAAGCGGCACAGTTTATGTGGATATGTGAGGAAGCTAACAGTCAATCCTAAATATGAACATTGTAAGATTGTCGTGAACGTGGTATGGAAGGAATCTTCTTGGAAGTCGGTTCCACAGAGCAACGGTTCATAGGAAGAAGTTGCTTCAGTGGGATTTATAGCTCACCAATAGAATAGAAAGGAATGAGGGTGGTTCTCTACAATGGGCGCAACATGGCGGGTTTTAGCCCTGAAGTCTAGAACTAGTGGAACTGAGGAGTCTAGTTCGTTTGAACAATTTACATGGAAATAGTGATAGAGGAGCTTAAGTCAATGATTGAATAAGCCTCGTTGCAAGTGAAAATAATCCTGTTGTATCGCTAAATATTTGAGCTTAACAGCTTTAACAAAATATTGCGATAACAAATCATAAATAGGAATACAGGTCATTTTTAAAGAGGTAAGAGGGTACAAATGAAAAGATCTATATTAACAAGTTTTTCCATTTCACTGAAACAGACGTTAAATATGAGAGCTTTATTGTCTACTCTATTTTCACTTTCTTTCTTTTCTTTCTTTTTTTTTTCTTTTTCTCACTGAAACCAAACGGCGTCAGTGATATCTCTTCTCAGTCTTTTCTCGGGATCAAAACGAAATATACTATTATTTATGAGGTACTGGAAGGGCGTATCATACTTGCTAAGTAAGGAGCTAAGGAACAAGCAAAATTATAATAGGATTTTAACTTATTCATTTATTTATCTTACTTTCTTTTCTTCTATTAGTTTCTTAATTCTTTACCGTCGAGTCTGGTGATTACCTAGATGGCTACACATTTGGGAATATCAGGCGCTGTAAGCTTGGAGGTGTGGATGCTGTAATGGATAACGGCTCGGAACTGAAAATCAAAGATCCGAGTACTAATTCCAATGGGGTCTTTCATATTAACTTACAAGCAAATACTCTTGTAAAGATATGAATCCATCCCTTCTCTCAGTTATGGGTTAAATATTAAGAGTTGTATCTTTAAATGATTTTTATCTCCACAAAATTCTGACAATCAAAAATATTTTCTGGATTTAAATAACCTGCAAAAGGTTGATAAGCCGTAAAAAAATTAATCTATCAATCGTATTTCCTTATATGATATTTATGAATTCTTCTCAAATGCAAGTGAAAAACATTTCTTGATAATTCCTGACACATTGAGCGGTTGCACTGCCAATGATGCGCCATGCTTTAAATAACTACTGCATTTCAACTTCACTCTAGAACTCAAAAGAAACTCATGTATACAATCCATTTTTAAAGGTGCGGGAAAAATAACGAACTCATTCTACCGTTTCAGCAAGTAAGAGACTCTTTCGCCATACTAAGTCAGATTAAACCAAAACTGGAGTATTGCTGCCATATCTGGGCTGGTGCTGCTCAGTTGTCAGAAAAATATATTACATACTTATGTATATATAAATAAAAAGAAAGAACAGTAAGATATATAATCCGGTGTTCTTATTGATATTTTTATTTTTATAAAATAGTGCTCAATTTTAAATCAGTTAATTTATAATATTACATACTGATCTATGCCAAGGATAACACCGCGGCTTGGATTGAGGTATCGGTGAGCAGTCGATTTTGTTTCATGAACTTACGTGCAAATAACCTTGGGAAAGGTATGAATCCATCTCTACTATGGATATTGCAGGACAGACTGTGTCCTATAGCCTTGGGTGGCAACAGATCTATGGCCGTTTGCAGACTTTGTGGCACACTATATGCACCAGTTCTCTGTATTCGGTCCACGAGCCTTCAGCACGATAATCAAATGAAAATATATGTGGATAGTAATGGCTATTCGGTTCTAAGAACTGGGTAACTGTACTCTTATACATCAGAAACGACAGGAAAGCACAGTTTATATATATATATATATCAAAATGTAATGAGAACGAAAAGAATAAAAATTCAAACGGTCGAAGCGTTAATTTAAAAGAGGTCACAATACCAAGAGTAGAGCATTAAATATAATAACTTGAGAAGCATCTTTGTTCCTCACTTGTCGAGATGCTTTCGCATCGAAACAAAAATGCATCTTTGTCGTGAGAACTTGTTTGTCCGTGTGCAATATCCTTATAATATATATATATATATATATATATATATATATATATATATATATATACTATTATCATTATATATATATATATATATATATATATATATATATATAAGAACAATCAATTCCTTTAAATAATATGTAGAAATAACCATTCTTCACCTGATGAAGGTCACAGGACCCTAAACACCTGTAGTAAAAATATGGAAAATAAAGTATAATATATAAAAAATACACATTATAACCATAATGTTTGCGTCTTCTTTGTTTTTCTCTTTAAAATATATACTTTTCGGTGCTACTATAGCGTGAGGTCAACTTCAATATAGCGTGAGGTCTACCTCCCGTTTCAAGTGTTTCTAAAATGTGAGACAGATATAAACATCCATGTTAGACCACACCTGAACTGATGGCAAGACATATACCTCACGCTATAGTTGCACCCACTTTTCTCTCGTTGGAACAACTATAATCTCTCCCATATATATATATATATATATATATATAAAGAAATAAAGAAAGAACGGGGCGGATTTTTTTACTTTTTACCACTATGGATTTTTATTAAAGTGGGTATTTGTATTTGAGTAGACGCTCCATTTATTCATTAAACGGTATATTTATTTATTTTCGCCTACCGGTCTGAATATTCAAGATATCTTATTAGAGAAAAATATACTCTCTCCAGAAAGATTCGAAACTGCGTTTCTTCTTTAAAAGTATTATTCGTCTTTGCTTAGTTTTCGACACACACAGTAGCCAATAGATCCAAAGAACGTCATCTCTAATGAGGGCTTCCCCTGGGGGAAAACTGGTTCGAATCCTGCCGAAGATCACATATTTTTCTCTAATATTATTTGTCGTTTCGCTTATCGGCCTGAATACAGGCCGGTAAGCGAAAATAAATAAATATACTGTTTAATAAATAAATACATAAAAGCAAAGTATCTACTAAAATATGAGTCTCCATTTAAAAAATAACGTTTACACAAATAAATTACTCCATTTCCAAAAAAGATATTGGCAGAAGACATGTGAATGAAATAGGGTAAGCGGAAAACTTTGGGGCCGACGATAGCTGTGCTAGCACGAAGTCACAAGTCATCGTGATCGAGGGTTTGAGTGTGCTGTTGTTGTTCAGATTGTTGATCATTTTAGGTAACAAGCTCTCTCCCAGAAACTGTAACTAATATCTGCTCAGTATAGTTGCAGTATAAACCATAGGTTGGCTCTGTGGGTGTTGAACAAACACAAATCTGCCAGAGCAATAGTCTGCAATAGGGATTGGCTAGCTGCTCTAGTAAACGGGTATCCTCAAATAAGAGTGGCCAGCTACTATATATATATATATAGAGAGAGAGAGAGACAGAGACAGAGAGAGGGGGGACGAACATAAATAAATATACTATTTAATAAATGAACGGACTAGAGCCTCTAATCAAATACGAGTATCCGCTAAAAATAACTTTAAATAAATTACATATATATATATATATATATATATATATATATATATATAAATGTATTATATAAATATATATATATATAAATGTATTATAAAAATATATATATATATGAAAAATATATATATATATATATATATATATATATATATATATATATATATATATGAAATATATATAAGAAATATATATATAAGAAATAAATGATTGCTATTTGTCTCCCATTTTTAAATAAATTTTCGACGAAAACGGAAATATTGTCACAGAAAAGGAAACTCCGTCAGCAACGTCGGAAATTACACTTTGCGGATGTTCATGTCTCAGAAAAATCATGTGTGCTGGTTTATTGAGAGCTTCTTGTTAGCTGAGTGAGAAAGACAAAATATATGACAAGTTGGAATTTTGTAAGTCGAGAGGCATTTAAAAATAACTCGATATGATTTAGCGTAAACTGTTTCGAATTAACGAATAGCAAATCAAGGTACAATTTTCGTAAATCGAAAAAATAAGTGAAATAAAGGTTTTATACGGTAGTAAGGTCATTTTGAAACTCAGATTGGATCACGCGTTCGAATCCCATCAGAAGTAGACTTTTTCTTTCTTACCTTTTATATTTCTTTCCCCACCAATTGGATTTACCAATATAATTGGATCATTTATTGGATCAATTTGTAGACAAACCACTGATGAAGTGAAAGGCTGATGCAGCAGAGATGTAGTTTTATAGATGGACGCTGATAATGGAGGAAGCAAGTGAACAAAGAGGATTTTTTTATGAAAATGCAAACAAACATTATACTTGTGCTTCGATCCAAAAAGAGGGATAGTTGAAATATCTGGAGTGCATAACGAGCAAAGAAGGGTTGGAGAAGTTGAAACTCACTGGACATATTGAAAGCAACAGAGGGAAGCAGCGAGTAACGTGTTTGTGTAAACGG